AGGGAGGGGGCGGGGGGCGGCGGGGGGGGCGCGCGGCCGAACAGGGGCTGGAAGAGGGGCCTCACCTGGCTGTGGTCAAGGAGCGACTGCAGCACAAGGGGTGGCTTTGCCCGTTTGCCAGCCGGCACCCTCCTTGTCCCGGGTTGGACGGCAGCGGNCTGCAGCACAAGGGGCGGCTTTGCCCGTTCGCCAGCCGGCACCCTCCTTGTCCCGGGTTGGACGGCAGCGGACGCCGACACCCGTTGTTGACGTGTAGCCGCCTATGAGGCTCTCCTTGGTTTGTTTTCTACCACACTCAGAGTAGGACAAAACGAGCTACAAGTGTCGTCAGTTTTTACGTGGAGTCGATACGTACCCTGTTGCACGTTGCTTATTGATAGTAGCGTAGGCAACGGTGGCGTCATAGCATGCCAATGGGGCGGGGGGGGCGGGGGGCGTTTGATCGAAAACCGGGGATGTCGTGATGCTGTCCCCGGGTGACCTCCATTTTTTTTTTTTTCGTTTGCCATAAATGTTTCTTATTCATGTCTGCTCCCTCCAAGTTTTATGTCGTGGGGATGTATGAACAGTCCAGAATAGACTATCCAGGGTTGGTGGTTGTTTGTTTGTTTTTCTCCCATCATTGGACTCTGTCGTCTGCCCCTCTGGCCCCTATCCTCCACTTCTACTAGCTAGACGACCCAACCGGGGTCACATAGGAGGGGGGGTTGGGCACCCTCCTGCGGTTCATGCCTGATGTATTTTTATCGCGAGAAGGGTACAGCAATCCCCTCCCTCGCGACTTACGAAGTCGATTATGGTTTACTAACAAACGAGCTGTGCAGCGCGTCGCTTTCATCCTAGGGTTAGTGTACGGGGCTGATTCTTACCGTAGGGGCACGCAAAATAACGAAAATATACCCATTTTTGAACAACTATTTTTTGACCGCAACGCCATTTGTTACGATGTCTTTTTTTAGGCTGTCTTTTTTTCAATAAATGACAACTGGCCAAATAGCCCCGTGTTACAACGTCTTTTTTTGCTAAAAAATGACAACGAAAAAACGACGAAGCGTTTTTGACAGCCGATATATCCTGTCATTTTTTGGGCAACTTTTTGACAGGATGCGCTTGTCAAAAGAGGTTGTCGTTTTTTTGAATCACGCGCCGACGTTGCTGGCACACACACACAAGCATCGCCATTGTGGAAGTGGCTGCCATCGCTGGCACTCCTCGCTGGCGCCGGGAGTGCCACTCGCTTGACTCCACCCTACATCAGCAGCGTGGGCTCTCTTCCGACGGCCGAAACCGGTGTGGGTGATGCCCTGCTACCAGCAACCGCTCTTGCTGTGGCCTTGGTCGCCCTTGATGAGGTCCAACGCAACGACTTGTCGCAANGCCACTCGCTTGACTCCACCCTACATCAGCAGCCTGGGCTCTCTTCCGATGGCCGAAACCGGTGTGGGTGATGCCCTGCTACCAGCAACCGCTCTTGCTGTGGCCTTGGTCGCCCTTGATGAGGTCCAACGCAACGACTTGTCGCAAGAAGAGGAGGGGGATCGTGCGCCCGACCTTCCCCGCCCTAAACTTTCAAGAGGACAGCGAAAGGGGAAGACGTGGAGAAATGCGCTTGGGCAAAGTTGTTGGAGGATAAAAAGGACCTCGAGGACAGCAACAGCATAACCTCCACACAGGTTCGCCTTGACTTCCGCGTCCCCTACAGCTTCTTTCTGCGGCTCGTGGCGTTGGTGAAGAGCAAGGACTGATCCACCACTTCTGGCTGCGGTGCAGCAGGTCGGCAAAGCCACCCAGTGGAGCACAAGGTAGGCTGACGGCATATTGGGTTCATACGAGTGCAGACTCTGGCCTATAACCAAGAAGGGGCTGCTGTAACATACTTGCATGTAGCGGAGGGACAACTGCTGTAGACCACATTTTTCTATTCCTCCTGTTCCCAGATGCATGCCGTCTCTGGGGCATGCCCGACACGACTCGCTTGGTGACGCTGGCCGTGTTCGCACAGTCGGGCTCAAACATGTTACTCAAATCGTACAGCAGTACAGATGATCTGTCCACAAACAACAAGGAGGGGACTGCTGCTGCTGCTGTTGTGTCGAGTGCATTAGGCGGAGGAACCAGGCGCATATGGTATTTGTGTATGCAGCTGCATGCCGTCTCCTGGGCATGTCGTTGACGAGACGCGGTTGGTGACCACCGGCCGTGCTCTCCAACCCTCGAAAAAAGTGCACCCGGCCGCTCTGCTGTCGTGCACAACAGCATATGTTCACCGGACAGTGTTTCGTCGGTGTTGTCTGTCGGTACAGCATGATGTACACTTTTGGTTCAACTACTGCTATGTACAACTAACTGCAGCACCACCATTGTGACGTCACATCGGGTTGCACTGGCGTCCGAGATAACGCAGGAGAAGAGCGCTGCAGTCGGCGCGACATCGCAAAGCTAAACTGACTGGCAGTCGTTCTGTTGGCTACCGTACGGCGCAATGCTCAGTCCCTCCGCCTGTGAGATGCTTCCACACGACGTACGGTACACGCAACCACATCACATCACTAATAATGACCCCGCGATGTCCCGTGTGTACATTCCTTGTTGCACTCACTGGTGCAGGTACTGGCCTGGTTGACCATACTCGGCAGGGGCAACTGCTTTGCAAGCATCTACCAGATGTCGTGGATGAGCGCGAAGACCGTGCAGACGATGCTGGTCACACAAACGCATGGCGAAACAACCGGGATAACAGGGTCGGGGGAACAGGGTGCAACAACGTCTTTACTAATAACGTGGGGAAGGGGGGGGGGCATGACAAGCAATACTGCCGCAGCCCACACCCAAAAAAAATCACAACCCTTTATGATGCAAGAAAAAAAAACACCCAAAGAGAAGGCATGTCGGACGGTGCAAACAGCGTCTTTACAATCCGACATATTTCTTCCATCCGACTTATTTCGAATGGCCGTGGCGCGGAAACTATGTCAACAATACACACCACTGTTTTTTTCGCTGAGGCTTAGGCTGAGTCTTATTTTACGGCGTGATTATTTCTGAGATTTTTTTTTTCTCTCGGGGGGGGGGGGGGGG